GTTGTAGCACCCCACAACATTGACATCATGCACGTTTTTGTTATTCTGGCATCCCACAGGATCAACCTATCACTGAATATGATCTTCCTGAAACTCACACAGAGACAGTCCAAAGCTTCCGAGATTGAATCATGGGATATGTGAAATGCCAGTGACAAAGATTAAGAGCCAGAGCTGATGATACTAGTGTTAGTCGATGGTGGATCCAATGACCAAAAATAAAATGTCAGTAAATAACCATTTACTCTGTAGCGTCCTTTTTTAGTGAAGAAACCATCGGTAAAACTAAACGTTACAAGTTTAAATAAAGTCAAACTGACATTTGAATTCTCCGCATACTTATTTTTTTTTACTTTTCAATGTTTTGGTTTACAACCAACTACTGGAAAAAACGAAAAATTTCAACTTGCAGGGGCACATCTTTGCATCAGGCTGCATTGCCCCATGCAAATTTGAGTCTAATTTTGTCTTTACGTACATTCCACTTACAATTGCACCTGGCCATCCACTTAACAGACACTATAAGGTTTAAAAGCTACAAAATTACAGGGAGGCATACGCCAGAAAGAAATCAATAATCCATTCCAATCCGAAATATTGATCTGATATATTACATTATAATATCTACACTAAAGAGGATTTTCTTTTACCAAACAAGTTTTAAATTGTATCTAAACAAATTGGAAAAGTATAGTAGAATAGGGTATAATGTATCTTTATTCTCAAACTTTAATTTCCAAGGTCAATAAAAAAAAAACATCAAGCTCAATTAAGACATTGTTTACTTTGCATAAAGCATTTGGCTACACTTTAGAATGTCCTCCCTTCACTAAATATGCCCTTGCATTAACTTGGTCGTGTCCATCTGGAAGGAGAGCACATTCACAGGTGAATTCACAAAGAATAGGTTGTGGCCGCTGATACTGTAAAACCGCGCGTCATTTGCAACCGCTATCTGCCTAATGGTCCAATTCAAAAATGACATCGCACTTATTATATTACAGCGCGAACGCATCCATACAGTTTTGCAGCCGAGTGCAATTTTTTCACTTTTCTGCATCTGATTGCAATTATCCATGTGGAAAAGTATAAATGTTCCCTCTGTGCAAAGATCACAGTAGGCCGAACAATGGCAGAGAGAAAAATAAACCGCAGTCACACAACGTGACTCCGGTCATGCGATGCATTCAGTGAGCGCCGAGGCAGAGAGCCACTTAAAAGATGGCCGAGTAGTACTTGCTGTCTTGTTACATACTTTTTAAGCAGAAAGCACAGCTGTACCTCGTCCATTGTGAGCTGTCAAAGCAACAGGTATCAATAGAAACTGAGCGTTGTGTTTATAAAAATGAATATTCTAACTTAATTTTTGGCTAATTTGAACAGCCCTAATACACTCACCAGCTCTCTGAAGACTAATAATTTCAGTTTACTGCATGTGGCTATTATGGCGGATCTTTAAGAATTGTACTGTTTTTGCAATGAGGCTCATTTAAATGAAAAGTGCCAATTTTGCACCAAATTAATGCATATTACCATACTTAAATATGGGCAAATAGCACAGGAACACTGAGAAGCTATTTGCTTGGCAGTGCATTTAGGGGTGCATTTCATCCTTTGTGGGTGCTTTGAGAATAACAAGGTTGCTTTTAGTTCTATTTTTGCAGGTTTGGCGCCACAAAAGCTGCGCAACCCTTTTGTGAATTCGCCCTTCAGTTTGGACCTCAGGAACCTTCACAGCAGACTCTGTTTGACTGCATTCTTGTTCAACACGATGCTGCCTCTTCACAAATCAAGCCTGAAATATTCCCTTGTGTTGACCCGCTCAGTTCCTTTACCTGCAAAAAGCCAAAGACAAGATGCTGATTGATTGTTTTCAGCAGGGGAGCAGTGATGGAAATATCTACAGTCCACAGAAGAAGAAAGGCAGAAAGAGTCAACAAACACAAGACAAACATACACAAATCATGTTTTGTTCAAAATTTCAATTTGTGCTACTTCAGCTGACCTAATGCATGTTATAAAAATTGTGAATTTTGTGATTTATTGGCTGTTCTCTTGTTGGTGGCCTTGCCATCGTCTCCTTGAAATGTCACCAATAAAAGTTCAATGCTTCCGTTCTGTTTGTCCACTTCACCAGCCACGACAGCGTTGCTGCGGCACTTTACGCCCCTGGGCCGATTAACCGTGGGGTCTGGTGTGATCCCATCGCAAGATGGTCTCTAGTTTCATCGTCTTTATTTCTTGGTTCAAAGGCTTTTTTTCTGAACAGTTAGAAAATGTTGCATCACAGATCAGGACAGTTTACAGATGTGGAAATCTACACTTCCCTGGATGTTGTCTATGCTGTGTGATTGATCGTATATATATAGAGAATGGCCGACTTGAGTTTTGTACTGAATAGTGCAAAGACTACGACATTTTCTTTCTATGGTGAAGAAAAAGAAGCAAATCTTTCTTGGAACATGCCCATCTTTGAATTCTACCTTCATTTTGATGTCAACTACACAAGCTGTAAAGATTTGTGACTGCATCTTGAACACTTGTGATGCTGTCACGGTGAAAAAATCTGTCCACAGACAGACAGACAGGAAAATAACCAACTGGCAAAGTTCTTCAACCGCCTCTGTGGTAGTTCTTGATACAGTAGGTGTCTCCAGGACCACATTTTGCCATGATGACTCAACCATAGACTCACACGGTGAAAACAATACCAGCCCCGCTGTCTAACAATTAAGCCACATGAATTTCTCGTTTTGTGTGTTTTTTTCACCTTCTTTTATTCAGGTGGGAGAGCGATGCTCTCTTATCCAGGAAGACCCCGATCACTTCAACACAGATTCCGCAATACTGCCATAAAGAAGATGCGCCATCACGCCGGCTTTAGCTTTTTCACACTGAACCAAACTACGGCTGCATAACGCTGCTCCGTCGTGTGATTTTTAGATAGCATGCCGGCATTATGGGAGCAAAAGAGACGTGAGGAGTAAAACAACAGCGTCAGCGTCTGGTGTGTGTGCGCGTGTGTGTAGTCCCGCCGTCGTTTACATTATTTACAAGGCCCTTTTTAAATGGTCGACCAGTCAGAATTTAGAGGGCTGGATTAAGGCCATGTTCACACCGTTGGCCCTGCGTGACAAAACACAGCACTCTAAATCATTTGAACGGAGTCAGTATGCAGCGGGGGTGCAGAGGGGTCTGGCAAAACAACGCTGGGTCATCCGGCATAAAAGTTCAACCAGTCTGAAATGTTGCTGCAATGCAACGTCATCCAGCATGGCACTCACCGGTACCTCGAACTAAATACCCCCAACAACGCAGCCCCCTGCTGCGCTGTTTTCTGTCTGAATCTCAACTAAAAATGGCGATGTCATCTTCTTACATAGCTAACTACATCCATGAAAAATAGCGATAAAGAATGGCAACACGTGTGGATGAGATGAGCAGTTCAAGCTAATGGAGTCGCAGAAATAACTTTTGAATTGGCAGATTTCTTCAATCGACAACGTTAACTGCTCCTAGCCTCTGCTACCGCAGTCGGTGATAGCATTACTCACAGCACATGCAATTTGTTATAGGATAGGAAAATAAAACATTTTTAAAAAAGAAGACAGAGAACATTTTCAGATTCTACTATCCTGATGTGGCATGGCACTTAAATAAAAATCAACAATGTGCATACAAACAGTTAATACCACATCTCATCAGTCTGTTTGTGAGCCCATATGCACACATGTAAATACAATGTTTGCCTTACCGGGCTTTTCAATAATGCTTGGTGCCTTTTCAGATTCATAACATTTATTGTGGGCACAACTCCTGCGTAGCTTCAAGCGCAGGGAAGTCATAGCAACAACAGGAATGGTAAAAAGCAGAGAATAGCGAGGCTCAACATGCACAAGACAAATCCCATTAAAGACATCAGGGAACGGAGGGTTACTGTCATAAACTAATGCTTTTAAATAAACGTTAGGAGGTGAAATTATTCTTTTTGTACTGTACAACTGGGTTCAGATTCACACCGACAGTCAACAGTTTGCAGTGAGGTTTTACTTTCCTCAAGAAATGGGAGTACAGAGGCGAGAGAAAATCCTCTAACCCTGTTGTGTGGATGCACTGCGTAGGCTGCCAGGGTCTTTTACTCAGGCTTCCAGTAATATTGGTTAATTGCTGGATTTCTCTAGCTTCTCTCAACTTGCATCACGAGTAGGCGTGGAAGAGTTTACAGCAGGGGTATATTGCTGCTGACAGAATACAATGTTCTCTCTCTCTCTCTCTCTCTTAATTGTCATTCCCTGCTCACAGGCACATTTCTCTGGCAGATTCCCTTGAGAGAGGTTTCCCCAGAATCTACGTAAAAGGATTCCTTCCCACGCCATGGTCTTAGGAACATCTCATTTTCATCCTCCCGCGCCTTGCTCATGCTCACACACACTCCCTCTCACCCTGGCATTGTGTCCTCGTGTCTCCCTGTTCTCTCACTCTCGTGTTTTCATTTTCTTTTTCTCTCTCTCTCTCTCTCTCCACTTTTTAACTTCTCTGGGCTTCTCTCTACTTCCCGCCCCCCCCCCTTTCCTCATATCTTATAGATCCTCCGTGGGAGGCAGCATCTCCTTCACACTGCAGGCGTGGGCTCTTACTCTGACAAATGACATGCCGGGCCCACCAGCTTTGCGTGGGGGGAGAAAAGCTTTAAGTTAAGAAGGAGGAAGGGATGTGATTGGTTGGTGAAACTCATGGGCTGTATCTTGGCCAGCAGTATTTGATCGGGCTCAGAATATGCAAGAAGTGAGAAACACAGGAAGAACTGCAATACTACATCACACCTACTGTACGTTTTAAGAAATAATGACCACAACACTGCTCAAAATGGTCAAGCTGTCAGCAGCAACAATAAAAAATGATGGTAAATGTATTTAGTATAAACATTTGTCAAGACGGCTTATAACATAAACATTTTCTTGTGTTTTGGTCTAGTTAATCTTTTATTATAAATCACTTACGAGTGTTCCTTGGCTAACTGCTGGGCCAGAGCAATGGCTGTAGGATCTCGGTCTAAGGCCAGGACTGTGACTTCATGAACCATATTCAGTATTTCTTTGGTATGACCGCCACCTCCAAATGTCATGTCCAGGACCACCTACATGTGAGAAAGCAAGAAAACAACACATTCTTCTCACACTAGGACTCCATATACACAATTAATCATGATCTTATCTTCACAATGTTAGTTTGCAAGTGTTTAGTTCACAGTGGTGCACTGACAAGTGTTATTTTGTTATTGTATTTGTCTTATCTCAGTATTTAAATGTTAACTTCGGTATTTCTAAACCTGGACCCTATTATCCCATGATTTTTGTGTCCAACTGACTAATAAGGACAAAAAATGTCTTTTTTTTTGAGCGAGAGCTGCAATGGTACACAGGCAAGCTTGCATCGTCACTTACATCAACTAAAACTGCTTTTTTTTTGCAACAGACATACTCCTATTGGTGTTATAAATGTCTCGCTCAAGAAGAAGTCTCAATCTTAAATCTGGCAAGGTGGTGTTTTGCTGGAAGTCAGCAGTGAAAACGTGAGAGACAGCCAGGCAGAGTTTTTTGTGTTGGTGTACGGAAAGCCTAGCTTAGCTTTATCAAACAGATTTCCAATGTCATGGCTGAATATTTAGATGATTTCGACAATGTGGATGAGGTTTTTAAATGTATAGCCCTATTTATTTTAGCCAGAGTATACGGATAAAGAGCTCCTACAAAATTGAAGAGTGGACGAAGAGATGGAGAGAGGGGCAACCCCAGACTCTGAATAAGAAATGGACGATTGGTTTGTGGGCTGCCGTTTTGAAGCCTTGAGTTTAGCTTTTTTTCCGTCACCATCTTGGTTTTAGGCTGTTAACATCTTTTTGGCTTTTTGCAAACAAGAAGTGACGCGAGAGGTTGGAGCTAAGTACAACTGAACTCTGATTAACTATATAATACTTTCTAAGCAACCAAAAAGGGTTAGAATTAACTACTATGAACTGAAAACACACTGAGAAAAGGGTTGAGGTTCTAAGATGAAAACACCGAAAACGTTTGGCTCGGTGCTTGCTGTTAAAAGACGTTAACAAAGAGGATTGCAGATGTATCGCCTAGCAGGCAAAATGTCTGACCTGTCGGGGAGCCACAGCCAATGAGAGCGCAAGGCATGTATTGAAGGAAAACTTGGGGGAGGCATCTCTTATTAGTCGTCCAAAAAACTGAAGACTTTGACACCAATAGTACAGTTTTGAGCACTTTCCAGAAAGATTGAGTTTCACATCCTTCCTATCTGCTACTCTGGTTAAAAAGCAAAAGTACAATGCAATCAATCAATCAGCTACCAAGCTCAATCAGACAGATCCTGAGGGATCTCGTCTCTTCATCATTTTTTATACATGCCACCAAAAACATTGTCATAGTTTCTATTGGAAAACGTATTATAGCCATTTGGTTACTCCAGTAGAGCATTTCTTAATTTATCCTCAAAATGACACCGGCTATTTGCTGAACTAACTTTTGGGTTGGCCCAAGAACGACGTGTGAGATGACGATTACTAGAGCACTCTGCTGTATAAGTAATACGGTTGAAAATCAGCTAAGGATACCTAGAATTTGCACTTTGTATGAATGACATCCCATCTTTATAGTTTATAGAACTATACATATTCTGAATACTAATATTCAGAATATGTCCAATACCTGCCAACCACTCTGCCACAACATCTTAGATTATCAGGCAGCTGTGAACTCAACAAAACTTCTCCTGTCTAGGCATATTTCCTTATATATTTCCTGACTGCCACTGCTACAAAAAAAAAAAACTGCACTGACTGAACAGTCTGAGATTGTTTGAATAATTTGTTGGATTATGCTTTACTTTGTATTTTTTAAATGCCTGCTCTGGGATTTATTATAATGTCAGCAAATGACAGAGAAAAGATGTAAAATGACAGAAAAGGAAATGCCAGCTATTCCCGACAAAAACATTAAACATGTCGATTGATAGTGACGTTGAAGGCGGGGTGTGTGCGTGCATGTGTGAGGGAAGAAGTGATCAATGGCGGTTCCCTCTCCTTTCCAGCGCACAGCAGCAGATGGGGAGGGGGTGTGGGCTAGTGGGATGAGTCACACGCATAATGAACCTGCCTGTTGTGCTATTCAATACAAAAAAGGAAAAGGAAAACAGAAACACAAACAGCAAAGTAGGCTGGCTTTTATCGAAACAGTCGACACAAGCAACCAGGAGACAAACTGGTCCTCTACTGGAGTGTGCAGCACTTGTCACAACAATGCTTTGTCACATCCTATGGAAGCTGTGGCCCAAATACCAAAGGTAAAGCTTGCTTTTTTTCCCACTGTTGCAAATGCAGACTGCCAACTGATGCTCAATAATCTTCGAGGTTGGTTGGTTGAAAATATAAATACTTCACATTTGTATCACTGGTGCACTGAGCACGGACACTATGCATCTGTATGAGGTTTAGTACACGTTTCACCCCTTTTACTCACTCACACACCTAATAAACTAAGCTAGAAATGAAGTGGGTGCAAAACAAAAATGGAGAATTGGATGTTTACAAGGTAATTTATAAAGCAAATTGAAAATCTAGTCCCCCTGCCCTGAGGGAAAACAAGCTTCTTCAAAAGCCCAGAATGCTGTTGTGAAAATCTTCCCTCTTTTTTAAAAAGCCTGCTGCTTTTGCCACCAGATGGACAAAACTACTTCTTGAAAAGATTTGGTGGGAATGGGTTTGGCATTTGCAAGGATGATTGACATCAAACTTGGTAGTGAGTCATTCACATTGATATTTCATCCGGAGGGGTGTCAGCGAGGCTGTCGCCTAGACCGGGCCTTCCTAGCGAATGCAGCAGTTTGGAATTGAGCCGGAACACAACGTGGATCACCTCAGTCTCTACATGCAGAGATGATTCTCCAAACACAAGTAATTACTGAAGTCTGTTTTGTACTCCGTTTAGCGTGTGTAATATCTGCCTTTCCCAGCAGAGGGAATAGGAGAGTTAGGAGTGGTCCAAGTGGCGCAGACCGACAGTGAAGCTGCAAGGTGCTATAACACAGGACACTTCAGCAGTCACCCCATAGCATTCTTAACGAGAGCTTTTCTTCCCAAAAAGAAAAATGTAAACACATTACAGTCACTCATTTGCTTTATTAATACAATAAAACAGGTTAGAGCATCTATTTAGAGGGATTTTACAAACATAGATGATGTGGGGAAAGGACTCTTTTTTTCCTTATTGAGAATTTGAAAACATAATACAGCTCATACAACAGTAAATAATATCCTGGCCATGTGGAAAAAGGGGCCTCATCTCAAGTCGTCTTGTGGTTGAATTCATTAGGAAAAGGGGAACAGGAACCTGAGAGAAGGCCGAGTACTCACCTAAATCCTACTTGTGACTCCCCAGCCCAGGTCAGTTACAGTGGGGGATCTAAAATGTCATTGAGGGGAGTTTTTACAGATCTTGTTACACTAACACACAGACCATTAGGGAGACAGATACACAGGTACAGGATCGCTTTTCTTGTCGCGTCCGTTGCCATGGCAAGAGTGGAGGTAACCGGTTTGCATTTCTTTCTCTGTCACACAAAGTTCATGGCGAGACACAAGTGAGCACACATTTTAGCCAGTTTGCGACACGAGAGCATGTTATGAAGAGATGAAGGTGGAGGTTATGATTACGGGAATGATGATGGTTTTATCGACTTCAGAGTGTGTCTGGCTGTTGCCTTAATGCACTTGACATCAATGTCACAGTTAAAACTGCTGCTTTGCTCAAACAATATCAAGACTATCTGACAATGAATTCATTTTTGAACCCCCTTATGACAACTTCTGTATTTCTCCGATATCAACTGTTCTTAAGAAATGTGTAAAGAGTCTGTAAAAGTGTGTTTTTCGTCTCTCTACTGTATTTAAATGATTGGGATATGTGTGTATATTAGTCGAGCGTGTAGGAGGTGGAGGTGAGGGTGTGGTGCACAAAACAGATGGTCAGTGAGAGCAGACAAACTCAAAGGGCATGAAAGTGTCCCGCAATTACTCTGTCAAGAGATTATATTGATGGTGATCAGCGATGTCAGAGAGGCACGCAGCTCTTTGGCTCATCTACCTAAATTCAAAGTGTACTAAACATACTACCTGTGTGTCTGAGAGTGAGTAAGAGAGTGAGTGAGTGAGTGAGTGAACAAGTGATACAGGAGCCCAAAAATATTGACAAAACTCTTTGCCAGAGGGCTGCTTCCAAATGCCTCTCTTTATGTTCAGATAATCTCTCTTTTGTCAGAGGAATGCTGTAGAGTTACGACAAATACTTTCATTCCTCGTCTATTCAGTGCTGTTTGCACTCTTTTGGCACAAGTTTAAATAAACGGCTCTTGAGGAGGTATTTGAACTAGTTAGAACAACACAAATCTACACAGAGAAGAAAAACTGCATTCGCTAATTTGCGTTCAAAAACACCAATCTGTTGTTTGGAGGTCAAACAAATAAGTGAGAATCAACGAATCCTATTGAATTTAGAAGCCATAAAGAAAAAGCCAGTAGAGACTTAAAGAATATTTTAGTTGTACTTTTCTTTCATGTGTCCCCTGCTGCGTATGCCAATTAGAAACAGAAATGAATCATAGGAGTTCTGTGAAGAAGGAAGAAGTGACCCAGCTGTTACAGAACTTTATCAGAGCTCAAATAAGAATCATTAAGTCATGGTGTTATTCCACGTTTAGTTTTTTTCACTAATAAGGAAATAAGGTCAGTTTTTGTGTGGGATTCAGGATTGTAGGTGTCAAAACTGCTTAATAGGAGAAACTCTACATCCTATAAGGCAAAGCTTTGTGCTGGCTCTATGCTTCCCTCCTGTAAGGGGGTGAGGCTGTTTGTGGGAGATTACAAAGAGATCATACAACAAGTTTGTTTATGTGTAATATTTGAACATTTTAGATAATAAGGCCTGTGATTATTTACAGGGTGGCAACGTCTGCTAGTCCCACAGTCCTTTAGTCCAACACTTTGGTCTACAGTTGAATGTCATGAACACTAATGAAACGATAAATAGCATGAAATTTGGTGCTGATATTCGTGGTCCCCAAAGGGTGAGTTCT